GAAACTGGTCTCCTCTGTCCCCAGACGTCTGTTGAGTGTTGTAAGAAGAAGGGGGGATGCCACACAGTGGTAAAAATGGACTTGTCCCAACTTTTTTGGGATTTGTTGACGCCATGAAATTTGGAAACAACAGATTTTTCCCTTAAAATGATACATTCTCTCAGTTTAAACTTTTGATCTGTGATTTGTGTTCTATTCTGAATAAAATATTAGATGTTGGCACCTCCACATCATTGCATTCAGTTTTTATTCACAATTTGTTTAGTGTCCCAACTTTTTTGGAATCCGGTTTGTAAACTAAATTATACCCAGACAGAAAATTATGTGTAACTCAATAATTTCAGACTGTTGTAGTTTCTTATGGTAATGTTAATAATATAACGGATGCTAACACATGCTTGACATATTTACTTTGTTTTGATGGTGTCCAGATGAACTGGCCTCTGCCTTGGCATCCTCAGATTGTTGACGTTCAGATCTTCACCATCGGAGCAGTGGCTGTGATAGCTGTTCCTGGAGAAATGACGTAAAACCTGCGGTAACACCATCAACAAGGCTGCTGACTGTAGAGTATTTCACACCTTATATTGTTCTGTAAAACTGTGTTTCAACAGCACCATGTCTGGGAGGAGGTTACGACAGGCTGTCAGGGAGGTGGGCGACCACATGAACTCAAGCAACACCTGCAACAGGTAACGTGTTGGATGACTATATGATGTTATTACTGTGTATCAGGAGCTGGAGTCAGAGGGAACTTTCAAGGACACAGAGGTGGTGATTGCTGGACTCAGTAACATCTATACTCACTACATTACCACCTATGAAGAGTATCAGGTATGCAACCGCTAAAGATCAATGAAGATGTAGTTTCACTAGAAATCCATCAGAGTAACTGACCAAAGTATTGTTAATAATTTAAGATGAGGATTAGAAAACAAAACCAAAGTTTGTGATATCTTCGATATTTGATTTGCATTAGGAATGCATAACAACTCGCTCTCAGTCCAGTTCAGTCCAGTTTTATATATAAAGCACTTAAAAAAACATTCAGGACCAAAGTGCTGTACGGACAAATTAAAAAGCACAAAAGGAATAAAATACAAGAAAAAAAAAAAAAACAGCTATGCAATAAAAATTAAAAACAGTTAAAAGAGAATCAAATAAATAACAATAATGAAATCAGCATCTCACATGGTGTCTTGGAAAAAAGATACGTTTTAAGATGGGATTTAAAAACAGGAGCCTGTCTGATGTGGAGAGGAACCGTTCCATAGTTTAGGAGCTGCTACAGCGAAGGCACGCTCACCTCTAAGCTTGAGCTTTGTTTCGGGTACACTCAGGCGCAGCTGATCAGCTGACCTGAGAGCGCCGGGGGTGGGTGAGGTGTATAAGGTTGTAGCAGCTTGGAGAGGTAGTGTGGGGCAAGGCCATTGAGAGATTCAAAAGTAAATTAAAGAATCTTAAAACTGATCCTAAAATGTATGGGCAACCAGTGAAGTGAGGCTCAAATGGGGGAAATGTGCTCGTATTTGCATGTGCCAGTTAAGAGACGTGCAGCAGCATTTTGCACCATCTGAAGACGGGCAATGGAGGAGCCACTAACCCCCACATAAAGAGCATTACAGTGATCCAGCCTAGTGGTCACAAAGGCGTGAGTTACTGTTTCAAAGTGCTGACGTGACAGGATGGGTTTTATTTTAGCTACCATATTAAATCTCAGCTCAATATCTCAAAGAATGACCAAGTTATAGTTCATTTTATGTTTGCTGAGGTAGCTGTGGCAGCCATCTTGGATCAAAATGGCTCCCAAAGTTAATTAGTTCTAGACATTTATCTAATGTTTTCTTTCTGAGAGTTTCAAACAAATCCAACAGTGACTTTGTGTTTTCTTCAGGGACCTCTACACTCGGTCATGTGACTTGACTGCAGCAGTTAGTGTGAGGAGTGTTCTCTCATTCATTTCCTATGGGGAAATATGACAACTTTGTTAGCAACATACATTGCCATGGTAACTTCGATTGCCAATAAACATAATAGCCCTCATCTCAAGATTGAGTCGGTCATTTTGATTTAACTTTTGAGGGAGTACACATTGCAGTTGGGGCCGCATTAACGGTGACGGAACAAAAATAAATAAAAAAATAAAGAAATGCTTATTAGGTGTAGAATAATAGGTGCCAAGCAGTGCGTAGCAGTGGCAGTCCCCAGTAAGTAAAAAAATAGTTTTGAGCAAATAAAACATAATTCAGACCTGGATTATTGAGCATGCATCAGGATATAATTCAGATTTGTAGTGCTTTCAATTGAAATAATGACTCAAACCAGCAGAAATTTGTAAGCACATTCATGTTTGTGTGGCTCAGGTGCAGCGGTATGAAGGAGCATCTACCATATTTGGTCCACATACGCTTACTGCTTACCTGCACAAATACCGGGGCTTAGCCAGAGCCATTGCTCAGGTGAGACTGGGCAACATGCACCATCATCAATGAGCTGAAGACTATTTCATCCTGGAAGTAAAGGAAAGGGATCCTTCCAGTGAGATTTAGGCACAAATAAAATGTGAAAATGCATTTATTATGATTTTTTTTATTTCAGAACAAAGTTTCAGAGCTGCCTGCTGGTCCTGAGCCTCCTTTCTTCACTGAAAACCTCTTTAATCTAATGGCTGCAGCTGCAGTGGACAGAAAACCAGAAAACTGCAGCTTTGGAGACATCTTAGAACAGGTTTACCCCATCTATAGACAGGTAAGGAACAGGTTTACACCATCAAAAGACAGGTGGGGAAAAAATTACACAGTCTATATACAGGTAGGGAGCAGGTTTACACCGTCTATAGACAGGTGGGGTGCAGGTTTACACCGTCTATGGACAGGTGGGGAGCAGGTTTCCACCGTCTATAGACAGGTGGGGAGCAGGTTTACACCGTCTATAGACAGGTGGGG